ACAGGCGCCCGCCACAATGCCTGGCCATTTTTTGGTTGCAGCCATCATTGTTGTTTGGCGGGTCCGGGCTGGGGACTCGAACCTGCCACCTTAGGTGTACGTGGCTGACGCCTTAGCCGGTTGAGCTATAGGCGCCGAGCCGGCCAAATAATTTTTAAAGAACCAGGAGAATTTTTATTTTCTAGTTTTAAAACTTATTATAAACCAAAGTTATCAGCCCCATTTAGTACTAATATAGAGATAAATGTATTTAAAAGATACATTTGGTGAGCTAGGCTGATGCCATAGCACTCTATCCTGATCTTCCCACCTCAGCCTCCCAGAGTGCTAGGATTACAGACATGAACAATCTCATCCAGCCTAAAATATCTTTTTAAATACTAAGAGTATTTAAAATCTGTCAAAGAGACAGATTTGAGAGGCCAGAAATAAACCCATATATTTGTAGTCTATTGACTTTTGACAAAGATGCCAAGAGAATTCAATAGAGAAAGAAGAATCTTTTTGACAAATGGTGCTAGGACAACTGGATGTCCATAAGCAAAAAAAGATGAACTTAGACCCATACTTCACATCTTATCCAAAAATTAATTCAAAATGGACCAGATGCATTAGTGTAAGAGCTAAAGCTATAAAACATTTAGAAGAAATCAAAGGAGAAAATGTTAAGATCTTGGGCCAGGTGAAAAATTTTTAGACATGACCCAAGAGGCATGATCAATAAAAGAAAAAGTAATTAAACACTGGCTCAGCGCCTGTGGCTCAAACAGGTAAGGCACCAGCCACATATACCTAAGCTAGAGGGTTTGAATCCAGCCCAGGCCACCAAACAACAATGACTGCTGCAACCAAAAAATAGCCAGGCGTTGTGGCAGGTGCCTGTAGTCCCAGCTACATGGGAGGCAGAGGCAGGAGAATCACTTGGGCCCAGGAGTTAGAGGTTGCTGTGAGCTGTGATGCCACGGCACTCTACCCAGGATGACAGCTAGAGGCTCTGTCTCAAAATAAATAAATAAATAAATAAATAAAGTGTACTTAATAAAAATCCATTATTTTGGAGAGAACTAAGATGGAAGATACATGAGTTATCTCTATACCATCTCTGCAACTTCCTGTGAATCCTTAATTGTTTCAAAATTTAAAAAAAAAATTTGAGACACAATCTCATTCTGTCGCCCAGGATAGAGTGCTATGGCATCAGCCTAGGTCACCACAACCTCAAACTCCTGAGCTCAAGTGATCCTCCCACTCAGCCTCCCAGAGTGCTAGGATTACAGACATGAGCTATCTCATCCAGCCTGAAATATTTTTTTAAATACTAATATTTGTACTCAAAAGACACCATTAAGAAAATGAAAAGACAAACCACGGACTGGGAGAAAATATTTGCAAACCACATGCATGGTAAAACCTTGTACCCAGAAGATACAAAGAACTCTTACAACCAATGAATAAGAAAACTCAATTTTCAAATGGGCAAAAGATTTTAATAGATATTTCTCCAACGAAGATATATAAATGTCCAATAAGCTTATGAAAAGAGGCTTCACATCATTAGTCATTAAGGAAATGCAAATTAAAAACACAGTAAGATACCACTTCACATGCCACCAGGATGGCTACGATCAAAAGGCCAACAAGAACAAGTGTTACTGAGGATGTGGTGAAAGAATTCTCCTGTATTACTAGTGGGATGATGAAGTAGCACAGCCACTTCAGAAGACAAGTTTTCAGTTTCTTAAAAGGTGAAATAAAAAGTGTTATACAACTTAGCAATTCTAGTCCTACAGACCTACTCACGAGAAGTAGCACATCTGTGCACACAAACATTTTTACATTAGTGTCCGTAGCAGGGTTATTCATAATAGCCAAAAAGTGGAAAGAGCCCAATGTCCCTCAGCTGATAAAGGGACAAACAAGATGTGGAACGTCCATGATTAAGGTGACCAGACGTCCTGCTTTTGGAGGAACGCTCTCAATTTTTGGAAAGAATGCATGACAAGCTAGGGAACAGCAGGACGATGGGAAGGGAATATACGGGTTTTCAGCTGCTGAAAAGGTTAATGTAACTCCATTTGGGAATGAAGAGGTTAATGTAACTTCATTTGGAAATGAAAAGGCTAATGTAAACTCCCTACTCCCCTCCTGGGCAAGGTCACCCAGGTGGAATTGGTATCAGAAGGAGACTGGCTCCCTCCCTCACTTCTAGGCAAGGACAATTAGCACAGAAGGAGCCAAACTGTCTGGAGCAAACAAGTAGCCCCCCCTCTCTAGAGGATCCCTAACCATAAACAGCTCAGCCAATAGCCCCCGCCCCCCATCAATGGTGTCCCGCTTTACCAATGTTAAAATCTGATCACCTTATCCATGATAGAAACCAACATGAATAAAAAGGAGGAAAATACTGGTACGTGGTGCAACCCAAATGAACCTTAAAACATTATGCTAAGTGCAAGAAGACAAGCACAAACGATTCCATAGTCTATGATTCCATATGTGTGAAATATCCAGAAAAGGCAAATCTGTAGGAATAGAAAAGCAGATTCACGTCTGACTAGGGATGCCGATGGGAATTAACCACAAACAGATATAAAGGATCTTATCGGGGCGATGAAAAAAAATGTTCTAAAACTAGATACGGGTGGATTTCTTCCTGGTTGGAGATCTCACCCCACCTGCACCCAGGTGGAATAAAGCCATTTTAATTGCAGTAAATAAATAAATAAAACTAGATATGGTAATGGGCATACAAATTGGTAAATTTAGTAAAAATCATTGAACTGCCTACTTAAAATAGGTATGGTATATAATTTATAGCATAGAAATTATATATGGTATATAAATTATGCTTCAGTAAAAGAGACAAAAAAGCCAGCTTAACCAAATTTTATATTAACTTTTATTGGTTTTTTCCTTTCTATAAAAATAAGACAAAGCCAGGCATGGTGGCTCATACCTGTAATCTCAGAACTTTGAGGGGCCAAGGTGAGAGGATTGCTTGAGGTCAGAAATTTGAGACCTCAACATTGCCAAACTCTGTCTCAATACCTGGTATGGTGGCAAGTCTGTAGTGCCAGGTACTTAGGAGGCTGTGGAGGGAAGATCGCTTTAACCAGGAGTTCAAGGCTGCTGTGAGCTATGATTGTGCCATGGCAGTCCTGCCTAGGAAACATAGTAAGTCTCCTCTTTAAAAGAAAAAAAAAATCAATCTTCCAGCCTGAGCAATATAGTGAGATCTCATCTCTACAAAAAATAAAAATAAATTAGCCAGGTGTGGTGCTACACCCCTGTAGTCCTCCCTTGATAGGCTGAGATGAGAGAATCACTGG